TGTGTGGAGTTAAAAGAAAATAAATGTTTGGATAAAAACTACTCCATTCGTCGACTGATGTCTTCAAGCTGCAACAATAACATTATGAAACTGGTTCATGTTGAGCTTTTAAGTAAACTGAAACTATTTACTTAAGGCTGGCACCTCGCAGCAGTTTCTAAACAGTTTATCTGATCAGGCTGCAAAGTTTATCTTTTATGATTTTATGATTGGATCCTTTTTATCAGCAGCTGCYTGTCTGATTTCTGTGGCAAAGGGCACCTCTGACCGATTTAACATTTGACTTTTTTCGATTCCAACATAACATAAATGTTGAAATCTTTGACGTTTCCTTTGAAATCAGGATTATTTAACGTAAAGATGAAGTTAAAGAAGACTGTTGTGTTCCCTCTCAGGAAGGCGGCGTGGAGTCAGGCTTCAGGAGGGCTCAGGACTCCACGACCATCCAGAGRTTATATCAGATCAAAGGGAAACGAAACATCCGTGCCAAAGAGGTGGAGTTGGCCTGGAGCAGCTTCAACAAGGGCGACTGCTTCATCCTTGACCTCGGGGAGGTGAGATGACCCACTTATAAGAAGATAAGTGTATCAAACCTTCAAAAGAACACAAAACGATCTAGTTTTATTTCGCAAGATGTTGCTCTTTGAGTATGTATTGAAAATGGCTATCAGCTATTAAAACACTAAAATATAGCTCAATGTTTGTAAACTTGACTAGGTTAAATCCAGAACTGTGTTTGCTACTTTTAACTAGCTATGGGAGCCATTTTGAATTGGATCAACTCCAAAATTTAMTCATTTGTTCTTGAACATCCATAGATTCCTTCCTGAAAGTTTAATTAAAACCTATCCAGTGGTTCATGAAATATTTTGCTAACAGACACAGGGTTGACATCAACAGTTGCATCTTACGTTTGAAGCAAAGACCTTGCACAATGAGCCGCTTTTAGATTATGTGTTGAAATGACTCTCAGCTACTATCACGCCAAAATTTTGCTCAATATCTGTAAAACTGACTGAAATATGGCAAAATTTGTGTTTTCTACATTCAGTGTGCTGTGGCGGCCATTTTGAATTGAATCAACTCCAAAAATGAATCAGTTGTAGATGCACATCCAGTGATGAAGTATTGAGAGTTTAACTAAAATCTATGAAGTGGTTCATGAGATATTTTGCTAACAGACATGAGACACTTTGCAAATGCTCTGAAATGTGATGCAGCTGCAGTCAGACCAGGTCTAAAACTGTAAAATAATCTGAGCTGACGCTCCGCAGACGGTCATATCGTGGACCGGGTCGCAGGCCAACATCTTCGAGAAGCAGAAGGTGCGCGAGATCGCCTCGCTGATCCGAGACACGGACCGACACGGGAAGGCTCGGATCRTGGACATCTGCGAGGGGGAGGAGCCTGATGAGATGTTGAAGGTAAACAAAACAACAGTTTGGTCACAGGCAGACCGAGGGTCCTCTAACAGTCATGTCATCAGATGAGCTGTGTGTTTCGGGTCAGGTTCTGGGCCCGGTACCAGCGCTGGCAGAGGGCTCTCCAGAGGAGGACAGCAAGGCCGACGCCTCCAACTCGGCCTCGCTCTACAAGGTGATTATTTCTCCCCAACAAGCTGCCTCCATTAAACACATCTTTTCTCTGACGGCTCTGTTTCCACCCTCCAGGTTTCTGACGCCACGGGTTCGATGAGCATGACCAAGGTGTCGGACAAAAGCCCGTTTGACAAGGACCTGCTGGTCCGAGACGACTGCTTCATCCTGGATAACGGAGCCAACGGAAAAATCATCGTCTGGAAAGGTGAAGGAAAARCTCTGACTTTAATTATTCATCAGGACAAATCTGAGCTCTAACTGACCCCCTTCAGGTAACGGGGCCAACCCGGAGGAGAAGAGGGTGGCGCTGCAGATGGCCGACAGCTTCATTGAAAAAATGAACTACCCCAGGATGAAAACACAGGTGAGTTTTACAGCTAAACTTTATCACTGTGGGAACGCTGACTCAGGATTTACTCTGTGATTTTTATTTCTCTCTTTGTTTTCAGCTGAACTACTCCTGCAGTTTTATTTGAATCTTTTACATAAGAAAATGATTAAATTCCTCATAAAAACATCTCTTCTTGTTTTCATATTGTTGTTTTCATGTTCTGCTTTTAGCTACAGTTTTGCTAGTTTTATCATTTTAGTTTTAGCTTCTTTTATTCTACATTAGGCCATTAAGGTTGCTAATTTTAGCACCTGTTCAGCTTATTTTAACTTAGATGCACATTGTTTTTCTAATTTTAGCTGCTGTTTTGCTGCATTTAGTTTTCAGCTACACTTTGGCTCACTTTAGTTTTAGCTTCTATTTGATTACTTTAAGCTACACGATTGCTAATTGTAGCGTCTGTTTAGCTAATTTTAGCTTCAATGKAACTTTTGATAATTTTAGCTGCTATTCTGCTGCTTTTGGTTTTCAGCTACAGTTTGGCTCATTCTAGTTTTAGCTTCTGTTGTGCTGTTTTAAGCTACAGGATTGCTAATTCTAGCATCTGTTCAGCTAATTTTAGCTTCARTGTAAYTTTTGATMATTTTAGCTGCTATTCTGCTGCTTTWGGTTTTCAGCTACAGTTTAGCTCTTTCTAGATTTAGCTTCTGCTTGATTACTTTAAGCTACAAGATTTAGCACCTGTTCAGCTARTTTTAGCTTTGATGTACATTTAGCTCTTTTTAGCTACTGCTTTGCTGCATTTAATTTTCAGATGCAGTTTTACTCACTTAGCTTCTGTTCCACTATTTTAAGCATTATTCAATTTAGCGTTTAACTAATTTTAGCTGAAAGTTTAGCTCATTTTAGCTACTGTTTTGCTGCTATTGGTTTTCAGATANTGGGCATGCTTAGCAAGGGGGATTCTTATGCATTGAGCTAATGCTAATGCTAACCATTGAAATCAATGAGCAGAACGTAGCACGGTGCAAGAAAACGCTTTTTAAATGTACTAATGGTACAAATACTTTGCTATAAACTGCAGAAATTGTTACAACATGTTTACAAGAGCTAAAAGGTTTAGGTTTTATGGGTAAATATTATGCATGTTTAACCAAAATTAATTATTTTAATTGTAAAACCTTTATGCTAATGTTCATGTTTAACCTTATTTAAAATTGATTTTATCTGTTGTCAAATATATTATTTACTGATATTAACATGTAAATATGGACTTTATTGGATTGTTGACTAGTTAGACTAGTTAGAGCATATAAATTCAGAAATTATGATGTAGACTCGCTAATGACAGACAGTAATGTAATGACTGAGCATCATAAACAAAATAGTCACGTTGTCAGACAGGCCGGTTTATTCAGATATTTTCTACATCCAGTATTTGTTTTTTAACATTTCCAGAGAAAAAGGAGGAAAAACCGTGTGCCAGCTATGGATCGGCTTCAGAAACAGCCTGCATCATTGTGAAGCTGAAGAATAATTCTTTGTGATAAAAATAAATCCTTTAAGCAATTCTTTGTGACATCAAATAATTTGTATTTTTTTAGTTTGTTTTTACTGATGTTAAAATTATTGTAGTTTACAGCACAAACTTTTATAGTTTTATAGTTTGTAAAAATTGAGCAAGAAATAAGGAAGTTATAAGAGTTTTTCATCAGGAAGATGCCTCACAGTCCATTGACATCCATTCATTTTGGTGAGGCTCCTCAATGCATAACAGAGCTCCAGTGTGTGCACTTCATTGTAGCTAGCAACGTGCTAACCATGCCCAATCCAGTAATATATATATATCAATAGCTGTAGATAGCTTTTTGCACATATCTTTAGTTTGATCAGAAATTTACTTGTCATTTTGGCAAAAAATAAATGAATTTCTCCAAAGTGTTCAAAAAGCCATCTACAGCAGGTAAGATATTCATTGTTCATAACATTTTCAGAGAAGCCCTCTTCAAGAGTTTTTTTGACCACGCCTGCTATTATTATAACATCATGAAACTGGGTAATGTTGAGCTTTTAAGTAAACTGAAACTATTTACTTAAGGCTGGCACCTCGCAGCAGTTTCTAAACAGTTTATCTGATC